TTTGGGAAGGCAAAAAATTCTTTCTTTTCTTTTTTTTTTTCTTTTTTTTTTTTTTGTTTTTTTTTCTCCGTCCCTGTTTCAAAAAACAGAGGCAAATGATAAAAATATTTCTTCTATGGCATTTTTCACCTCGGTTCCGGAAGCATGGATGCCGATTCAATTTACTGGAACTCCCATCCCATGGCACTAAACCAGATATGGTAAAGGGACTTGGCATCAGGTAATAATCTGTATTGGGTGCATAAGATCTTCATCGTCGTAGTTTTTCTAAGCTGAAATACGATGCGTTGTCAGTGTGCATATGTTGGGCAAGAGCGGTAAGGGAAAAGTTGGGGTTTCAAGCCATGTCCGGAGAGGAATCTATCTCTTAGAAGACCTCTTTTGTTGGGCCCTGAGAGGCGTCGTACTTTGTACACCAGAAAAATCACACGGGATGTGTAAGGAGATATCGGGGGTACAGTACGGAGTACGTAGTATGTAGCTATTCTTCATATGGGTAAAGTTAATTGAACAAACTGAGGTCATGTACAACTTTTGTTCAGATTTCCAACTTTTCTTATAATACAAAGCCGCTGATTGGTGAATAGACTTGTTCGGAGGGTGACGGATAAAAGGACTACGTCCATACAGGCACCCACGTAGCCCTAGAATCAGGGGGTTGTAGGATATATATCGAGAGATGAGACAAATCCCTAAGACACTCATGAGTGAGCACAATAAATGTATTAATAACAAATGAATCGACCGCAAAACAAAAATGCGATGAAATGACGATATTGCTCTTAGTCAGCGAAGGCGGTGACCGCTTATCGCGCGATTCGCTCTCCAACCCAATGATTCAGAATGAATTGCTGCCAGAACGAGAGCCTCGATGGATGATGGGCTGCAGGAAGCTATTAGTAGTCTAGCAGCTACTAGTATCTATCGTGCCTGATTGTTCTCTGAGCGTCATCCTAGTCCAATCATCGTCTGCGCGTCTCATCCAGACACTTATCTCTGTCAAGTCCAAGCCGACACTGCCCTGCAGGTCCCGATAGAAATCCCCTCTATCGACGGCTCCCCGCCTCCACTTGCGGGTCATTAGCAGTCTGGGGGCGACCTATCTTATTCCATCTACCCCCTTGAATGATCTGTGCTCATCGATCTGCGTGATACTGGACAATTGGTGTTTGCCCATCCGCACACTAGCTGCCGCGCCCTGTATAGCTAATGCGCCCATCACAAGACCGGGATCTCTGTGCCGTGCCCTCACTACCAGCAACATAATCTGCAGGTCGCCTCTTGCCTACCTCCAAGACCCCGTGGCATCCATTCAAAATCAAAGCACCAAGTGCTCTCCCCACGTCCGATAAGTATGCTCCGCTCTGACCCCACGCTTTATCCGAACATTCTTGGGTGGACATGACCAGCATGAACGAGGGCTCTACGGAGAAGTGGCCAGAATTGGCCATGGAGTCATCAACATTCAAAGTACCTCGAGGAAAGTCGAGTGCGCGGCCCCAAACAATGAACACAGATAGCGGCTCTACTTCCAAGAGGCGCTGTGTCAGCACAGCCTGTATCGCTTGTCGCCGAAGGAAATCGAAGGTACAGGAGCTACTTCCATTGCCTACATCAACTTCACATCTAATGTTTGCTCCCAGTGCGATGGCAATCTACCCAGCTGTGCAGCCTGCTCCTCAGTATACCATACGACCTGTAAATTTCACCTCATCAACGAAGGTATAACGCGATAGGCATAACTAACTACTTCTTAGGCATTTATGATCCAAATTCCGACCATCGTCGCAAAGGGGTGTATAAGAAGGACACCGATACGCTACGGACGAAGAATGCGACTCTACTGACCTTGATACAAGCCATACTGAACTATGAAGAAGAGGATGCTTTCGACTTGGTGCGGCAGATACGATCCTGCGACAATCTAGAGGATGTAGCACAGTCGATCATGGGTCAGGAAAGGGGATCTACGTCCACTTCCAGGGATCCCGTATCTAATGGAGATTATGACCCCACACAGGCAGATCAATTTGAGTCGGAATTGGCTGGAAGGATGAGTGGTCTTATGCTGGACGGCTCTCGGAAGTTTATTGGCGGCACTTCGAACCTCATCTTTTTGCCGCCCGGGTCGGAGCTTTATGAATATAATGCGGACTTGGAGGGCCAGAGTGTCGGTCATACACACGATCGCTCCATTACCCGATGGACGAGAGTCACTTCGGATGAACAGTTACTTAGCCACCTCATGACGATGTACTTCACATGGCATTACCCTTTTTTCACAACCCTCTCAAAAGACCTCTTTTATCGCGATTATGTTCATAATGTTTCCGGCCAGTATTGTTCGTCCTTGTTGGTCAATGCAATGCTAGCTCTCGGCTGCCACTTCAGCTCTTGGGACGGGGCCCGGGAAGACCCTCAGAACTCAGCGACCGCAGGAGATCACTTTTTCAAGGAAGCAAAAAGGCTTGTGCTCGAAAATGATGAGCATGCAAATGCGAAACTTTGCACGGTGCAAGCTCTCGCCCTCATGTCTGTCAGAGAGGCTGGGTGTGGTCGTGAAGGCAAAGGCTGGGTCTACAGCGGCATGAGCTTCCGTATGGCATTGGATTTAGGGCTAAACTTCGACTCAACCAGCCTTGGAGCTCGCAACCTTGATGAGGAGGAGGTTGACGCACGGCGAATTACTTTCTGGGGCTGTTACCTCATTGACAAGTACTTCCCCCTGCTACCTTATATAGATGCTAGAGGAAATGGCTAACTATCATAGATGTTGGTCCAATTACCTCGGTCGCCTTCCTCAACTGGCGGCTACTAGCGTGAGTGTACCAAAGATTGACATTCTGCCCAACGAGGAAGCAGAATTGTGGTCTTCCTACACTGATGCTGGGGCGAGCCTCGAAAATACACAACCATCACGGACCAGAACGGTGGCATTGCAAATATCCAAACTGTGTGAGATCAGCGGTGATCTACTCGTGTCTTTCTATGATCCAACCCCCCGAGATAAACCCCTCTCGAAACAGGTTGAACTGAAGAAGCTCAGCGAAATTCATACGAGGCTTGAGGCATGGAAGAGAGACTTGCCGAAAGAGCTAGAGCCAAAAGAAAGGCTGTTGCCTCAGGCTTTGCTCATGCAGTAAGCTGAAAATTGCGTTTCCTTGATATTCTGTAACACGAATACTGACACAGTTGCAGTATGTTCTACCAACTGCTCTTCATACACCTTTATCGTCCTTTCCTAAAGTACACAAAGTCAAACTCGCCTCTCCCCCAACACGTCTCCCCCCGTAAGCTGTGCACGCAGGCTGCTTCCGCCATTTCAAAGCTGCTCCGGATATACAAGCGTACCTACGGGTTCAAGCAGATCTGCAATATTGCAGTATACATGGCTCATACCGCCTGTACCATTCACCTGCTCAACCTCCCGGAAAAGAACGCTCAAAGAGACGTTATTCATTGTCTCCGGCACCTCGATGAAATGGGCGAAAGCTGGCTTTGCGCTCGACGGACCCTTCGAATCCTGGATATATCGGCCAGTAAGTGGCAAGTCGAGTTGCCTCCAGAGGCGGTTATCGTTCTCGAGCAGACACATCTGAAATGGGGTTCATGGGGTTCATGGGACCAAGCATCATCGCCCTCCACCTCTGAGCAGTCTCCATCGTCTGTTGCAGCTCAACCTCAACCTCCTGCAACAATCTCAAACAGTGTACCGTCGCCTGGCCAGTACGCTCCCACAAGTGAGCAGGGCAATCCTTCATTTCAAGGCCCTTCCAATGCACTTGGATCTTTAGGCACCCAGTATGCGACAGGGGTGCCGATTCCCACTTCTTTGTCGGCCATGCGAGCAGCTCAGCGGTATTCAAGTGCACAGCTGCCACGAACAGATGCCCAATTACCAGAGCCAACATACCTGCGGCCTGTATCACATGCTTACGGCTCAATGCATCCTGTTCCTCTCTCTCAGCGTGACTCATGGTATGATCCGAAGGATGCACAAGGTCGGTCACTAGGTACTGGTCAAGATATTGCATCCACATCAAGCGCATCTCCAATGACTGGATTTGGTACGCCGGAGAATTTAGTTGAGGAAAGCCAAGATTGGTGGTTTCGGGATGCGAATGCGTTTAATCCAGGATATGAGGATTGGAAAGAAGGCTGGAACTCTACTATGACTGGGATGACGCCCGACTTCCGCTACGTCGGGCAGGTATCCGGGTCTGACAATACCTCCAGGCCTCAATCAGTCAGATATGCTGTGGGATATCCTCCTAATATAACACAATCGGACGAGAACCCCGCTATCCCGAGATACAATGATGTAGTTTATCCGAGAAACTACCAGTCTTGACCTCTACGGCATTTCTAGGTACGACCTGTATTATGACTTATCATTTGGGATGTTGGTTATTTTACGATTTTAATGAGGGTATGGTCTTTCTCTTTGTTATCTTCATGCTCCCTTTCCGATGTTTGTAAAAAGACGTATATATACTGTACAGGCTACGAACCTCTTTCGTTTTTCAGGGTAATATCTGCCACGATTTTGTATAATTTTTCTCTCTCGAGGTCCTTGCTGCACGAATGCTCACCGTATACGTCAAGTTGTACGCAACCGCATGGATATACCCCGAGGGTGACTGAAATCTTATATTCAATGTAATAATTTATGCTAGAAGTTGCGTTGGTGATAGCCTCCAGCAAAGAAAAAAAGAAACAGTACGTCCGAGATATTGAATAAATATCACCCTCTAAGATATGGACACTTCGACCTCAATGGACATATGAGTAGACAGAATGGATCGTTCCTCGCTTTCAACAGATCATAAAGGTAGCTCCAAGGTTCAACTTCGAATGCAAAGTATGCTCAACAACACCATACTTCTAGAATCATGGCTGGGTCTTGAAGAAAAGAACTGGTACGGGCCGGCCTATATAAGAATGTAGATAGGACAGAAAGGAAGTGAAATTATGCGTCAGTGGTATCACTACTGAACTAGTTAGAATGCGCGAACGAGCAAGTCTACGGTTTGGCACGATGTCTTGGGGAGAAAAGGGGGACATACCAGGAAATAATCTGCAACAGGCTTTTTGGCGGGCATGCCCCTTGTATCCTGCGCAGCGGCTTCAAAAACCCTGTACCTTCTTCCGGGACTCCTCACGCCTGGCTTGTCGGTCGTCATGATGCCGTTGCTCCGTCCGTAGTCACCATTACTCCTAGTTACCGTACCCCCGTTGCTTGTGTCTTCGCCGAGTTCCAGAATGGATGCCACGTTTCCACATCGATAGCAGTAGTTGGGGGCTGACCAGACAGTGACGATCCCGCCGTCGAACATCTCCTTATAGCCCTCCATCACAAGCTGATGGGCACGCGCAATCAGGGAAAGGTCGTTTCTGTAGTTAAACTGCTTCACGATGTCCCCGCCGAACAGGAACCCGGCACCGCGCGGGCTCAATCCCCAGCCGTCAATTTCATCAGGGTCCGACCATAACAGGTCGCACATGGCGCCTTCATGGGGGACTTCTTGTTTTCTGTCGATTAAACGGATCTTGTCGACTGTGTCGATGAGAGGGGAGAGGCCGCCGTGCACACAGAGGACTGCTCCGGTTCTGCTCGAATAGCTACCCGCGCCTTCTCCCGAGGCACCTGTGCCGGGCGCACCTGTTCTGAGGGGTGCCTGGCTTGGGATATCCCCCATGTTTCTAGTCTCTGTTGATGCATCCGACGAGGCACCCTGTCTTGGTCGGTATGAGCTGTATGTGACCTCTCCCTTCGAATTTAGTACTTCGGTCTCCAGCTCTGCGTCGTCGATCGGCATAGTGGACTGAGTAGAATCGTTCATAATGGGCCCTGTCGGTTCAAGTTCCGAACTTGTTCCAAGAACAAGGGCGCCTAGCGCCAAATAATCGAAGACTTCACAGCAATAACGCCATACGTTGGCGCTGCCATATTTCCGAATACACTCGTCATAGAAGCCATAGACTGTTGTAATTTGGCGCGACTCGTGATTTCCACGAATGAGGGTGATACGGTCTGGATAGCGCACTTTGAGGCAGAGAAGGAGGAGGAAAGACTCAAGGGAATAGAATCCGCGATCGACAAAGTCGCCCATGAAGAGATAGTTGGTGTCGGGGACATCTCCTCCGACTCTGAAGAGCTCCATCAAATCATGAAACTGGCCATGAATATCGCCACAAATCGTGACTGGCGCATCTACACAAACAACATTTCCTTCTTCTATGAGGAGCTCTCGCGCCTTGTAGCAGAGTTCACGGACCTGGGTTTCGGGTATCAAGCGACAGGCGCGTAGTTGGGCGATCGCCCTACATCACAGATAAGAGTTAGTTTCGGCGTTCCTGGAGCATGTAAAAGAATTTGTCCATCATGTACCTATCGAGATCGCTCATGGTGAGTTAGCGCAAAAGATAGAGACTGGGAATGGATCGATAGGTGAGTCGAAGCAGAGGGGTGGTCGGTGGGTCCTGACTCCAGCGAAGAGTCGGGGGGAGAGAAGAAGCCGAGTCGGTTGAGCCTGGACAGTCCAGGGAGCAAAAAGAATGACGACCGTTATGTTGACGGCAAAAGAGCGATCATTTTCTTGTTTGATGCAGCATCCAATAAGAGAACACGACAGGGGATCTCCAAGAAACTGGGCAGGTTCGCTGAACTGGGGGAGGTTCTTTTTCCGTGGCGCGCCAACAAGCTGACGGGACTCTCGCGGTTTTGGCGTCCGAGTGACCCCCCAGCCAATCAGCGTCACTAGAGATAAGATTAGATCTGATCGCCAAGCCTAGTCCGAATTCTTCGTCGAAGTCCTTCCCAGTGGACGTCCGTTGACTCCGTTGACTCCGTGCTTCGGTCTCCCCCGGCCTACCCTATACTCCTTTCGCTCTCCCCACTACCATTGGCGAGGCCATGCCTCCCTTCTGGGCGACTCCCTCATCGTTTCTTTGATCTGCCTTGAAGTGTTCCTCGCAAGGTGTGTCAATTGATTCCTGCCCCATTCTGGTCCCTCACTAACGAGGAGTTTCACACAGTGAAGTCCTTCCATGCCGGAGTAACACTCAGTGCACTTGAAAACACACAGCTTATCCCCTCAATTATCATCAATATGCCGCCACATCTACATCCGCGGTCGCGTTCGACGTCCTCTCTTTTCGCAGCCACTCTTCTTGCGTCTCTTGTCGTTGTCGGCCTGCCACACCTTTTCCCTTGTCCTGCTCCGCGTCGTACCCTCGCCGATTCGGAGATGATTGTCACTGCTGATGGGCAACAAATCCCCCGAATTCGAAGGAGGAAGAGGAAGGATGCCGAAATGCTTGGGCCAGAAGGAAACGCCCTCGCCCAGACACACCAACCTCCTGACGAAGTGTCAACATTCCTGCAATTGGAGGAGGAGGCTGAACGATTGGCCAAGGCGGGAAGAGAGTGTCCTGTTCCAAAGCCTGGCGGAGTTCTAGGCGAATTGCTTGGCTTCTCAAAAGGCGTCAACGAAAATTAGAGGAGCCACGACGCAGATGTTAACGGTCGAGCCTTCCTAGCCACGAGATGCAAAGGAAGGTGCTGTATACAAGCGGGGGCTGTGCCATTACGAGAGATACATTATGAATTGGGTCGCTGGAATGTTGGACCTACTGTTTAGAATATCTATTAGCATTGGGTCATGCCACGGAGGCACCAAACTCAATGCCAACAATATACCCATGTACAGATAGTCATCTGAAGCCATGATGCACAATGGCATTTTTATGTCTGCAACTTGACTCAATCAATTTTTAAGAAAGCATCTTTGATTTCTCTGTCTCAATTGCGCCTCCCTTGCTTCGGGTTGGTGCTGTTGCAACGCGACGTATCTGGAATAAAAATCCCGCTAAGCCGGAAATGGTCAGATATCATTGGTTCTCCCGCCTGAGGCCACATGCAATTCTGGCACAACATCAACGATGGAGTTGAAGCGCTTCATCCACGAACTGTGCCTGGACCCCAGGCATACCAAATGGATTGCACCGCTTCTTATCGTAGGCGATGCCTTCCTATGTGCTCTTATCATCTGGAAGATCCCATGTAAGTTTGTACTGTTATCATTGTGTTGTTTGTTCGTGCGGAGCTGACCGTTGCGACTACATTTAGATACTGAGATCGACTGGACGACATACATGCAGCAGATAGCTCTTTACATATCTGGTGAACGTGACTATACCCGGATCCAAGGATCCACTGGACCCCTTGTATACCCAGCCGCCCACGTATATAGCTACACAGCACTCTATCACCTAACAGATGAAGGCCGAGATATTCTTTTCGGACAGATATTATTTGCTGTCTTCTATCTTGTCACGCTAGCGGTTGTGGTGGCTTGCTACAGGCATTCAGGTGCTCCTCCATATCTGTTTCCTCTTCTTGTCCTTTCCAAGCGGCTCCACAGCGTCTTTGTTTTGCGCCTTTTCAATGATGGCCTTGCGGCCTCTGCCATGTGGATAGCGATTCTGCTCTTCCAGAATAAAAAATGGACGGCCGGTGTTACAGCTTGGTCTGTTGGAGTTGGCATTAAGATGACCTTACTGCTCCTTGCGCCAGCCATTGCGGTGGTAACTGTGCTCAGCCTTTCCCTCGTCCCGAGTATTCGACTTGGAATTCTAGCATTGCTCATACAGGTACGTATGCTTGATTCAATCAGGGAAGTTAAGCTATGGCTGACTTACAGATGTTTAGGTTCTACTAGCGATTCCCTTCCTACAGAGTAACCCTACAGGATACGTCGCGCGGGCCTTTGAGTTGACTAGACAGTTCATGTTCAAGTGGACTGTCAATTGGAGATTTGTGGGTGAGGAATTGTTTCTATCCAAACAGTTCTCTTTGGCCTTGCTAGCCTTGCATATTTTTCTGCTGGGATTATTTGTTGCCACAGGCTGGCTACGACCGTCGGGATCTAGCCTCCCTGGCTTCCTCCGGGACCTCCTCCGAGGACGCCAACGCACCGTGGTGCTTTCCAAGTCTTTCATAATGACCGTGGTGCTGACATCGCTTGCAATTGGATTGTTGTGCGCAAGGTCCCTTCATTACCAATTCTTTGCCTATCTCTCCTGGCTACGCCTTTCCTTCTCTGGCGGGCTGGGTTCCATCCGATCCTTATATATGCGATCTGGGCGTTGCAGGAGTGGGGTTGGAACGTCTATCCAAGCACCAATGCCAGTTCTTCGGTCGTTGTCTTCTCACTTGGCGTTCAGGTTTTCGGTGTCCTCTTCAATAGCAGGAACGCACTGAGCCAAGGGCCCCCGAAGCGCAACAGAAAGGAGCACATCCAGTGATAATAAGCCACGTATAGGCTGCAAATTGATCGTTGCCTTCATTGATTTTATCGCTTGGTCCTCGTGGTTCACATTAGGCGTAAACGCACGTGCATTGGATGCAGAAATCACCATACGCCGATTAGTTCAAGCATCGGAGTCGTCCGAGGGAGGCATCTTGCCCATATTTGACTCTTCCTCCTCCTCTGAATCCGATGCAACAACGGTAGATTGCTTGACAAATTCCTTTGGCCTGTGAAATATAGAATCAGTAAGAGTACAAAAACAATGGTTCGATCGATTTACCAAAATGGAGCCTTGCGCCAGGCCTTCTCATCCCGAACGATATTAACAATCTCCCCAGCAAGCTTGTTGTCCCGGTCCTCAAGAGCGTTGGTGTCGACCACGACGTAGGAATTGCGTTTCATCCAGATTCGTGAACGGAAGCGGGAAGGTAGCTCGACCAAAACCGTGTCTTTTGATGGCAATTCGACCACATATAAATTGTTTCCCGTTGCCTTGATGACTCGCGCGATTTGCTGACCTTGTTGGAGCTCGTCTGGAGGGGTCAAGGTTTCTTCTGCTGTTGCGAGAACCTTGCGCCGTGGTGGTGCCATGGTGGTCGATTGCAATTGGGTTCTCTTTTCTTGGAGCGTAAATCGTCGCAATGTCTGAAATACTGTCTCGTATGAAGCAATTGCTGATCAGATAAGCTGTGATGAGGGGTAGTCTAGTTGGTGTTTCGATAGTGGAGGGGT